TAGTCTTAGTTCGTCTATCACCCTGATATAACTCAATTTTAGAGAAATATTATATATTTAGCTATAATACTCGTGCAATAATACTTCTTGGATGAAGTGTAAAGATTTAGTGTGTACAATAACTTAAATTGGTAACCATCAAGTTATTTATTGATTTAGGCTTAAGTAACATAATATATGATACTATACTTAAATGTTTGCTATTATACGTTTATTTAGTAGGTATTTAACAAAAATTAAGTTATTAATGCTACTAACTTAAACTAAATTAAATGTTTGTGTACAACATCGAACATTTAAGATTCTAAACGGTGCGATGAATGCATTGATTTTATAATGATGTGTGTTTTTTTTTTTTGCTATGAACACGATAAGTAGTCGAAATAATGCTTTAATTTTAAGCTTAAGTATCTTTTCCAGGGTGAAATAATTCAGGTTTTTCAATTTAAAAATGCTCAGTAGTTATCAAAAGCGACGGGAAAAAACGAACAAAAAATTAAGCAAAAACGACAATTTTTTTCTCAAAATCAGTTTTCGACAAAACCGATTTTTGTTTTTGATTTAACTCTAAAACAAATAATCGTCGATAGCATTTTCTATACACCATACAATTTTCAAAATATTTTGACTCATGTCAAACTATTTATACTTTATAGACATATGACATTTTGTTTATAATTAGTTTTTTTTAATTAATGTGAATAAAAAAAAATAACTCGGTCAAACATTTTGAAAATGTAATATAAGGTTAGTAAGTTGATGTTAGAGGAAATTTAAAAAAAAGATTAGCATGCATAAATCCACAATCATTTTTTATGAACGTCTGAATTTCAAACTACGACAAAATATGTAAAAATCACGAATATTTAGTCGTAGTTTAAAATTCGTACGTGTTAGGATCTCCGGGGGAAACAGTAGATACGACTAATCAGTATTGTACATGTCGTATACCCACTTTTCAATGGTATACCTCTACCGACGTTTGAGGCGCCAAAAGACCATAAATAAACCGGTTACAGTTTGACTCTCAAAAGTCGATATCGTTACTTATTATTGCTTAGACTTTTCAATCCTCAACGACCATGAATTAACCGGTTACAGATTAGATTCAAGGAGTACGGAAAATTGAGCGACTACTCAAAATAAAACAAATAATTTTTCGGGTCGGAAACACTTTTATTCTTTTTAAAACAAAATAAACAAATAGTCGCCTCTTCAGTGTGAACGTCGATGGCACGCTCCCGACAACACACCAGGCGACGACAGGGACTCCTCTTTTCCTGCCCGTGCGGCCGTTTTATACCTATGTAATTTGTGTCACCTCAGCACATTTTGCTTCACAGGCTTGACCTATCCTAATACCTTAATTGCTAAAAATATTCCCACCTAAGTAAAATAATTATAACGACGACTGTCTACAATATACGACATACATTAAAATGAATACAATAATATTCGTGGATGGGACTATTCTTGAAATTAAGCTATACACACTATGTAAATGGGTCGTTAGGTAGACCAATAACAATTTTCTTTTTATACGAAAAATAATATTTTTGTAGTAAATAATGTGAGTTTCCAGGAATGTCCTTATAAGTATAGCTAGTGCATACAATAATAATTGTATACAAATATTATTTATCCGTAAACAAAAGTACAGTAACACCATAAATAAATTATGATAAATAGGAGGAAATAAGACTAAATGTCTAAAAATTAGCAAGTACATTATAATATAGGTAGGTTAAGTACACACGTTAAATGTTATGTAATGAGCTGCCTACCCGGAAACATACGTTTTATTGGGCTATTCTTAAAAACCGGTCAACATAACGAAATTTAATAAATCAAACAATAACAATAGTAATAATACGTAATACAATAATACAATAATAAGTAACGTCTATTTAATGTGTTGGCTTAACATGGTTACCTGAATAAAATAATATTCTGAAGGGCATTCTTAATTCACACTATACAAACAGTTTAACGATAAATAGTTTTATTTTAAATGATCTAAAGCTAAATGGTATAGTATTATTGTGTTGTAGCAACTTTTAATTGATTTAATGTGAATTATCATTAAGACAAACAACGGAAAGATTATAAGATTAAGTACACATTGCATATTACCACATTACTACACGTCTACACAAATAATAAATCGAAAACACGTCATTCCCGGTTACGGTCATAGTCGTCGTTATTTATTATAACGAATTACAATGCATTTGCTCCAAAAATGATTTGTCTGATAATTTTAATTCAATATGAATTATTTTTTATAACTACTACTACAGTTAGGTATATTTTTATATATGGAATTGGCTCATTAGTTATTATGTTTTACATTTGTAGATTTTACATGTAAACATTTGAAAACGACTGAGGATAATTAATTATTCTTTAATATATTATGATTTATAACTATAAAAATATTATAAAATAGTGGGACAACAGGCAACATATATTATATTAATTATTTACTTATGATATGGTTCATCAATAGTAATATTATAAATTTACCAAAACAAATTAAATTATTTGAGTGCAGAATATTTTTATTTTTTTTATTTATTTGAATTAAGCCTCGGCAACTATGGCCATTGGCAACAAAGAGTTTAACTCTAAATTATTTACATGATATATAAGATACATATTAAATATTATTGATAAGATTGGACTTAGTAATAAAGGTTATCATGTGTTTTATGTTGTCCGGGTGGAGGGCTTCTGACAGAATGTTTGAAATGTCTGTGCAGAATATTATAATATATCTGTCTATCGTCTAATACACAAGATTAAAAATCAAATGAAAAGGATTAGGGCACTTGAACACAGAAATAATATTTCAAAAAGATATACCTATTGTACCTAAGTAGGTATCTACTTATTTGTATAAATATTGTACTATTTACATTCACATTTTACATTATACTTGACATAATATTTTATTATAATATCCCTTTATTATGAAAGAAAGTGGACTCAGTGACAACGAGTAGGTAAGTCAATAATGTCAATGTATGTTTACAAAATACGAATACAAGAGTCATCGTCAAATATAGTAAGAATTTATTTTTGCATTTACGTACTTTATATTATAATAAACTTATATACGTTATATAGGTTAGCTACACTTCAATGTTTGCTAGAAGGTACACACATAAAAATTGAACGAAATTTTGAAGTATCACTGCCACCACGTGTATCTGTTGCATGTACCTGCTGTTTGATGTCTCTATCGATCTAAAACGATCATGTGTCACACAGGCTGAGAAAGAAAAGTAGAAAAACAAACAATTTTTCCTTTATGTGTTAAAGATATTTTATTAAAACGAGGTTAACACATATAGATAAGCGCACATATTGTTATGTTGCGTTAGTGTTTCCTGCACTTCTTTTATATTATTATATACTATAATATTAAAGTGCACGAATAATTGTAAATAATACAGGTGAAACTCAGAAACATCATTAATCATGATGTATCCATGGTGGTATTTAGTATTAGAACTGTTAAGAGTTAACAATTAGGCATAAAACTCCAAAGGACAGGTAAGTACTTAAACAATTTGATTTTTTTCCTAATTAGGTACCTAGGAAGTTTTAATGATCATGATATTGTAATTTTTATAATAATTATAATATTTTTATTTAGATATCAAAATAATAAAACACAACGACATAATAATATAATATAATCATTTGTATCGTAAGTATATACATTTGGTTTTCTTATCTATGACTATATAATATGTAGCCTGAGTGATTCATTGTTGTGATAAACAGTTTTCACAAACAATTTATGGGAATAAGGACTAAGTATAATAATTTTTGAATTATTGGAAAAATCTCAACAACTGTTTACAAACATATTAATATGTATAATTATATTAGATGAATCTCAACATGGTATCGGGAAAAAATCCAAAGGTTTCCGCCTTATAACCAGTATAGGTACTTAAAAACTCCAAAATTAGAATTTTAATAAATTCATTATTAAAGTTCAAAAGTAGGTGTGTAGGATACCGATCTGCTGTATAATAGGTAGGTATCGAGTGTACCTCGCTATTGAATATGTTACTGTAACATATGCAGTTAATTTAAATTCAACTATTAAACATTGCATACAATAAAATCGATATGAAAATATTAGTAGTAGTATATTATAAGTGTTTTTGAGATTTTTTGGATTCTACAAGAAAACTTAATAATTTAGAAGCAAGAACTTAATAATTTTCTATTAAATTGTCAAGGTCTTTTACAAACAAAAATGTGATTGTACAAAAATTGAAAAATCTAACTAAAACTAAAAAATGTAATGTATAATTAGGACAAATAGAACCAAAACTATAATATGATGTCTACTGTCTAGTAAATTTGATGAACATTTCTCTTTCTGATTATTTATTTTTAAATTGGGTTCTTAAAACAAGAAAAAAACAAATTAGGTTTTGAAGGAAAATTTTAGTTTTTTCCTAATTATATTTTTCACATATATTTTGAAGTCTTTTGAAATTTTACCTACCAAAAGTAGATATCAGAAACCACACGCATATAGTTGAAGAACAAAGCATTTTTTCTACTTTAAATTGTGCACATAATACATCAACACATTCAGCGCTCATCCGCTTAGAGTCTAAAATGAAAAATTTTAAATGGGGATGATAATCCTTGGTAAAGTACTCTATGTTATTTATTAATGCTTAATTGTTATATATTCTATGACAATGGTACATATTATGTACATATAATACATAAATGTAATTATATTTCGTGTTGGGGGGAGGGGGGATGGTTGACCTTGCAGCGCTTACTCGAACTGCGGGTGCGGGCGTATAAAGTTCGCGGATGTCGTATATTACATTATAATACCACATGAGGAGACAACAGCAAAATTATTGGTGGAAGGTGAATAACAAAATAAAAATCACTGGCCGCGCATCAAAGCATTATAAATAGGTACAGAATTTGTTAACGACCGCAGTACAGTTGGCACAAGCACTACGGTCGTGTCCGTTGAAATTTCGCGCGTCATCCGGGTATATTCGAAATAATAATATATCATCGTGTGTGTAGGTGTTTTATGTCCATTTACAATCACAGTACTATTTTAAATATATATTAATAATAATAATAATAATATATGATAATCGAGATACCCGCGAGTCGCGCTATACACCGTGCAAATCGTACCGAATTGCAATATAATAATACATACCTTATATATGTATAATACTCTCGTCGAATACTTGGAATACCTAAGTGAAAAGATATAATTTTACAATAATAAATCATTGACGGCACACTTTGCTGACGGTAGCAGTAGCGATTTTTCTTTCCCGTCCAGGCGCGAATTAGGACACAATTATAGGGAAAAAAAGAAGAGGGAAAAACCCGTTGTTTTCCATTTTAGTCTGTATCGTTGTAATATTATTTTTTTCCTCCGCCTCCGTTCGGAAAACCAATCTCAGCTAGGCCACCATAATCGCGTTCAATACCTAAATACACTCTCGCAAAACTTCGTCGCAGTCACTAGCACCGCCATCGCCGCCGCCCACACGCTGCGGACTCATGGAAGTTACACGGTCATCACTGTGGGTCCTGGTCGCATTTGCAGCCGTCCTGCAACCAGCCCGAACTCAGTCTTCCAAGCCGAACATCATTTTCATTTTGGCCGACGATTTGGTAAGGCACAACGTTAAGTTTATAACTCGTTCACTTATACAAAACAAGTGAGACGTACCTACATAATATAATTATCATATGTCCAGAATTACATCAAGTGCTTTCGGGCTGACTTTTAGTACAAAAATCATGGTTAATTTTTTTTATTTTACTGTTTAGCTTAAAAATGTAATATTATAATCTAACACTTAAATTTTTCACTTAAATTATCTATAATATGATTTCTTTCCAAACCTATAGGTTATACATATGTGTGCAGTTTTGAAATAATTTTTAGATTTTGATTTTGAATTTGGAAAACACATTTAATATTTTACTTTAAATTTAACGATCGTTTATTATAACAGTAGATAAAATGATTAAATAGTTTATGAAAACTGTACTACAACCAACTATTAGCACCTGAGTCTTTTGGGGAACTTAATCTGAACTTGATCTTGGTCATCTTGAGACAATAATATATGATAAATATATTATGCATCTATTGTAAATTGTTAGAATTCAATTTTTACCATACCTTTCTAAATTCTTGACAAAACGATGAACGCACTACTTTATTATGGGTATTGTACTATGATTTATAATCACCGTGCACACTTTATTGCGTGAAAATTCGCAATTCTTATTCCTCGTGTTTACGTTGCTTATTCAAATACAGGTTTGTCAATTTTTAATTTTTATACATATGTCCGACAGCCCAAGAGTTGGCAATATTAAAAAAAAAACTTACATATATAATATATAGTATATAAACAGTAAACAAATTATCATAATTTTACCGAATACTCACACGCTTATATAGTACATGTTGTATGTTGCATTATATAATGTGTAAAATATTTGAGAATTATTATGCAATTTCAGCCAATACACTCAAATCTTAATAGACCATTACTACACTGTTGACAAGTAAATGTGTATATCATATAATAAAATATAAAAGTAGGTACCTACATAGAGTTACATTTATATATAACCAATAATGTGCAAACATAAATCAAGAAAATATACCGTACTACCCAATATTTTCTGTAAAATATTTTCTTAGAATAGGTACGTCATATGTAAAAAAAAACGAATTACAACACATCTCTTTAAAAATGATAAAAAGAAAATCCAAATGTAATGCATGATTTATTAATATTGGTGAAAACAATACTAGGTATAATGTCCATCTATTTAATACATCTATACTATAAATAGTATTTATATAAATAAATGTACGTTTGGATGAGGCTTGTAGACTTGGAAACTCCCAAAGGAATTAATTGTTTACACATATAACTAGAGACTAAAGGAGTGTTTACAGCTTCGTTAAATAAGGTTTCTATAGGGTGGCTCAATGGCTCATGAATTTAGTTTTTGGCTCAGGAACCGAATATTGAAAAATCGATTATTTTTTATACTTGTATATTCCCAACCTTTTTGACCTCACGGTATACTAATGTCTAATCCCAACCTAAATATTTTAGTTGTAACACACTTGACACTCTCTTCCTGTAAGTCAAATAAACAACATAGGTTGCCATTGTTTGCAAAGTTACAAGAAACTTTAATATTAAATATTATACTTCAAATATATACTATATATATATGAAATTAGATACTATATAGGTATATAATATCGTCTTTATAGTATATGAATTTATGTATGTAGCTTATAAACTCAAAACCTATAGTTGACCGATTTTGACGAACATTTCAGAGATTGTTCTTCGATAGTGGTTTAAACCACATTCGAAAACATACCAAGTGATACCAATCTAAATTTACCATCTCAGTAGACTACGTTCACAATCGACGCCGATTTTCCCGTGAACAGAGGTACATTAAACCCGAAGTACAGCAATTATAAAATTATAGCACTTTGTTTTTTATATTTTGTTCATATTTCACTGACGAAGTCGGGTTACACATCGGCTACCTAGTACACATATAATGATATAAATAATAATACCTGCCTAATTATTATACTTATTTGCGTCTATACAATTTTACAAACGTTGAAACGTACAATTTATCAATGGGCGGAAATTGACTAAAAAAAAGTATACGGATATATAATTATAAACACGATTATCACCCATAATGTATTCACGTATTTTCCCAAGAGCAATTAAAAAAAAAACCTAAGTCACAATCTTCAAGATGTTATAATATGGCCACCAGAATGGCTAAAAACATAATTTAATATTTTAGACAAGTATTTAAGAAATAACACAGCGCGACGCGAGTGCATAATTAACGTTTAACGCCAACAATAAAAAATAACATTTAATGCACATTATGGGTAATAATTTAAAATACAATTTTTGCGAGGCACATCTTAATTATAATTAGTGGAAACTATCAAACCTATGTTTATTATTAATCAAGATATTAGATAGATATGAAACAATACAAGTTGAAACTTACAAATATTGTTGTGACCTGTAAGTAAATGAAAACATCCGTCCAAATAAACGATATTTAACATTGTCGATTATAATATACGCGTAGTTTACCTTCGTCAGACAATAATAATTATTATACCTATTGTATGAAGTAGGTATAGTATAAGTATAACCAGTGAATAGTGAAGACATTCCAAATACATAGCTATTGCTTCCGGACCTGCTATTTTATGTCTGCAATAAAAGTATAAATTTGGTTATTGAGTTGAGAAAAATTTATACTTCCCGATTGATTTTAATAATAATATTGTTTAAGTTATGCAAAAGTTATAGTAGAGAGTTGAACTATCTACGGAATTCGGGGATCTTAAATTATTTTATTTAGATAAAGAAAAAAATAATTACATTTTTAATACCTACCTGCACTGTTTGATATAAATTAATATAAATTAATATAAATTAATTAATTGATATTAATTAATAACTGTTGAGCTCGGTATGTAATTCACAATAAACTCAGCTCTTGGGTACTCTTCCATACACCCTGAAGTGCAGTTTTTCCAGGCTATGAGGGTAGTTATCTCCCGACTGAAATGCGGTAACCCGCAGCAAGAACTTGAGTTACACAAACAGTGCAAAATGAGAACCTTTGATTCGAAATACGATCACAGCGCAGGTCATAACATTATAATATTATACTATAAGGGTGCGTGAACGGTTGAAGCTCAATTTCTGAATTTCTGAGATAATCCTGCAATTTAGTGAACACTGTTATTATTATCAAGTATTACATCAAGCACTTTCGGCATTTTGCTAAACAACAACGATAGATAGGTACCTAAATTATAATAGGTATAAATTACTGTGGTTTATTAAAATATAATATACAACCGGGTCGCGCCGATTACCAATTTATGGCTATATTTGGCCAATTACACCGAGTTTCGGTTTATTAGAGTGTCGCAATTGCCAATCAACGCGGGTATTTGTCGAAGGTGACGAGTTCGTCGAGCGTATAAGTTATACGTACTTATACCTTTGAGGCTATAACATACCTATCACTTGTCGGTAGGGTCAAAATCGCGTAATTCGACCTATCTACACTCGTTCGTGGAGACAATTTTTAATCAAAACCTCTGACATATAAAACCGGGATGCAAGGATTGCCGAATTAAATCGATTAAATGTTGTTATCATTGAGAACGCGGGTGTTGATAAGACAAACACCTGCAGTACTGAAGAGAGCATACGTCATCAATAAAGCACTCTGTGCACATTACTCATATTATAAATTACATTAGTAATAAACAGTAAATAATTAAAAGGGCGATCCGTCAATTTTCCCTTCCACACAAAATCCGTACGAAAAACAAACCGGACCACCCACACCCGCCAACCATGTCGTCTAAAGCAGTTCTCTTTCTTCCATCATTTTAGGGATACATGAGGAAATGTAAAAATTTGATGAGAATGACCAAGCATTTTTTTTATCTTTGTCTATAAGACTTCTAATTAGATTTTGATAGGTTTAGACAAGTTTGAACAGATAGAACTAAAGAAGGGTGGAAAGTGGCGTGGTGGATGTGATGGACATGGTTTTATGACGCCTAAACGTCATAGTTGAAATTGTTTGAGTAGATGGTAGGTGGTTGGATACATTATGATAAGCAATAACGTACAACAAAAATTGTACTTATTAATTATTATAAGGGGATTAAGAGGGAGTATTTACCGTCGTAATGAAATATATGCTGTTCACCATTCTGAGAGTATATATTATGTACTAATGTATATTGTATAGTTAAGTAAGTGGATTTGGAGGGAGGAATGCGAAAGCGATACCAAAACAGTTTAATAGGGGTGTGGAAATCGTGTAACATAATATTATGATTATTCAATTTATTCAGTTTAATTTTCTGTAGGTTAATTCGTTGAATCATTCTACCGAAATCCCAGCCTATCGCCTTATGTATATTTAAGCACAAGGGCCTAGAACTGCAACTGATCATTAGGTGGTTTCATTCGGGATCCGTTTGGTTCTCGGACCTATATAATACGACCTACCACGGTAAACAGGACAACGACCCGCTTTCAGAAGTTACGTAAAAACCGTAAACGATCTTGACATTAATAAACTACAACAACTGTAATCGTAGTAATACTATGTTGACTGTACACGACGGGAGCATTGACATTGCATATTATGATAATAATAATATCGTTTGCAAATATAATGTTGCGGTCCTTGTGGTCGTCGCGGCGGTCGACTATTCATAGGAAAGTAAATAAATATTTTGTACGTTCCGCAAAAACAATAAATTATATAATATTATGATTTTATTGCATTCCGTATTTTCTTGAAGGGATACAAAAACACAACTCGATACTCGGAAAACGTTGTTGTAAGAAACAAAACGTAATCTTCTGGTTGTCTCAATGTACAATTTTTTGTATTATTTTTATTTGTATTTCTTAACTTTTTGGAATCTTTAGTTCGTTTATTGAGAATAGGTATTTTTTTTTTTTTGTTACCTATGACTTATTTTGAAATACTAGACGAATTCGTTGAATTTGGTATTTAATGCAATAACCGAAAGTTTGGGTAAAATATTATAGTAATGCTTTGTCGGACGCCTATTCGAAATAATATAAATATAATAACAATTCAGTGACCAATATTGCATGTTCATTGTTCAAAGCAGCTCGTGAATTCGCCCACGTTTTCGAGTATCGTGACACGAATCACGTAGTCGACAAGGGAAATGCGTCCAAGATGAGAGTTAATATGATTTCATATCAATTGTGTATATTATAGTATAGTGAAGACCAATTTTAATCGTCACACAATAATTCGAAAACTCTTTTACCTGCCATTTAAAAAATAAAATGTCAGTTAATCATGAGACACTTCACACCTATTAAACCTATATGTGCGTGCAAATATTATATCTAAATAATAATAGTTTTCGATCCGTTTCCGTTTGGCAAAAACTGTACTTATATCCTATACCTATACTAAATAGACGCAGAAACGGTTTCCATTAAACTGCAATAATATTATATTATTATAATGCTCTGACGGTCTAAACTCCAACACGTACCGATTATCGATTCACTACAGCAGCCTACATTCATAAATCATAATATTATATATAGATAGGTAAGTGATTATTTCCTACTGTAGGTAATACTTTTTTACATTCATTTTTATGGGCCTATTGATCACACTGAATAGACAGTGTTTGGCTAGACATTTTCTCAATGATTTTTTTTTCTAAATAAATTTCATCCGTCGAAAAGTCTGCAACTTGTCATGTCCGTCATACGTGTATCACCGTATGACACTGCAGCAGTGAATAGTGATAAACCGTCGAAGTGTGAGTGAATATTTAAAAACAGACACTGAATGTTTAGCCGGTCCGGCGATAGGTTAGGTTAGGTTAGATACATTAATCACGAGTAGAACTTGGATTTTTAAGCGATATAAAGAATAAAACATACAGTAAAATATGTATTTAGTTGTTCCATAAAGTAATTTTTTTAAGGAACATCCGAATTGATATTGTGTATTTGTGTCAAACAGTATTCTTAATTGCATTCCGTTTATGATTAAAATATTGTAACACACGCAAAAATAATTACATATGATTATTGTGAAGTTATTGATGTGTATCTTTTTTTAACTCTTTAACCATCTTTCTTAAAAAATGTGTAAGAATCACAGATATCAAATAGCAGCGTATTAAAATAAAAATATGAAATGTCGATAGAAATATACAATGTACTGACTGGAAACTTCGAAGGTAGTACTATTATCTTTGCAACACAAAGTTTTTATTTTATTTTTTATTGATGGTTTTTTTAAATTCACTACTAAACCATTAGTTATGTGTTTATACACTTTTAAAAACATCTAAGGTAAAAGTTATCAAATCTTGTCAAGGTTGTAAGAAAATAATTATCTTGTGCGAAAACATTTTTTTTTGGCTTAATGAATAATCATAAGATTCTTACCAATTTCTCTGGCCTGAGTGAAAAAGTCGTAAAACCCATGAAGATGTCACTACTAACAATATAAATATATAAAAGTTATTAGTTATAACATATTTTATACAGAAAAAATAATAAATACGTTTAAAAATCTTAGTTCTTTAATTATTATAATTACATTGATCATTTTAAAGTATTATACTATGCAAAAAAAAATTGTGAAAATCTGGAAAAAAAATATTGATTTGCAAATTCTAAAAATCAATTTGCAAAATATTAACATATTTTAACAAAGTTAGGGGGCCAACATCATGTACATGGTGAGAGCTAATAGTGTTTTTTGGGAAACGTGTTTACACATAATACTATTATAGGTAAATAATATATCATAATATGTCCAAAGAGCTAAGTTAATATAAAATTATTTTAGTTGGTTTCTATTAGTTATTAATATGAATTTATTTTTTTAAAAAAATCATTTAAAAAAAGTGTATAATAAATTATGTTAAGTATAGTAATGTAATGTGGAATGTAATAAAACACCTATGTGTATTACTTTTAGGTAATAGAAAATCGCCTGCACCCTCTTATGTCTTATGGAAGGAATAGATATTGTTTAATAGATAGTCTAAAACAAGGTGATTGTATTCCCGATTTTTCCTACAAAACATTTGATAGACAAGAGTGCGCCCTGAATGTAAAAGATTTTAATATCCAGATAATATCATTAGGTGAAATTCCAAGTTTTCTATTCCTATAGCCTATGATGCTTACATTTTCAGTCTCTATGCCTTCCCCCCCTCCACACCGAATATTTACCCACGGACCACCACCTGACTATAGCAGGTAACAACAGCAATTTATAATATCGCGTAGTTGTGCCTCGACTGATTTATGTTTTTATTTTTTCCCGCGCCCCGAGATACCTAAAGTCAACGGAGTCGAACTGAAAAAATAATATTATAATGACTTACATACCGAAGACCTCCGAACGTATCGCACGACCTACTATAAAACCGCGAAATATAGAACATGGCTCTGACAGCTCTCTCGTTTTCCATCTCGTCTAACCCGAGACCACCTGCTGCACACCCATAAAATAATAATATAACACACGTTGCTCCACACAGTTATGACGGCGGCGAGGGCGTTTAGTTTTGCGGATATAGAAATCGCAATAGGTCAACCGCACGCCACCGCCGCCGTGTTTCGACAATATTGTCTTACTTACGGCAGTGCTTACGAACGCGCGTGTACTTAGTGTCAAAATATGTGAAATGTGTATGTGTTGTGTGTTTTCGTTCTCACTCTAAATTATCTCTGTAAATAATACGATGACATTGACCTTGATAACAAGCTCCGACGAAAGTGACAACGTTTTCGCTTCGCTCAACTAGCGGACAACTGGCGAAAGCATTGGTTGCAATCTGTATAACTATTGCGTTCGGAAAATGAATTCCGACTGGAGTATAATATTATTATATTACAAATAAAATTATAATATGTTTAACATAAACAATTATAACTCACTATTGTCTATTGGCCCATTTTTGATTTTTTAGCTACCTCGTCCCGTTCCTTGTCAGAAGAATACTATTTAAGTATAATATTATATTACATTTTATTGTCTCGTTTATTCCACAGAACACACTCGTTTTTTTACCTTCTATAACAATATCTCTATCATATTAAACGTCTTATGAGTGCATTGATTCTGAAGTTCATTAAAAGTAGGTATACGTGTACCTACCTTTATTTTTAAATTGATAATATAAATTATACGATAAGTCGTATTGAATAAAATCGCTCGTATATTTGTCGCATTCATCGGCAACTTAAGTCACCCTGATTTTTATCACTTTAACTGTTATTTGGAACTGAGAAAAACAATTTCTAGTCGAAATTTCGGGTGAAAAATATATTTTCAGGGGAATGGAAATAATATCTGTATGACTGTATGGCATAAGGGTAACGTAAATCATCGTAATGCGTGTTATTATTAAATATATTTAATTCTTACAATACCATTTATTGCAAAATGTCTGTAATTTTTCAGTGATAGAGCAAAACTAGAACTTTACAACATTTTGATGTCATCATACAGAAAATCAAAAATCAAAAACGAAAAACAACTGCTATGCATAAATTATGTTAATGGAAAAATTAATGTGATTAAAAAAATATAGTTCAATAATATTTTTATTAATTTGTAACACTACAGTCAAGTCGCAATGACCCAAACCTCGATAACTCCAAATTCGTAACTCGAATTATTTTTCTTAAAGATGATCAGCCCAGAATATTATTTAAAATGGTGTTGTAATTTTTATATTTTTTTATACTAACCCTTCTAATGTATATAATCTTTTTCGTTTTCAAATTATTAAAAAATTAACAAATTTGTACTTTATTCCGTTGTAATCAGTCATTTGTAGATATATATTAAAATAAAATTATTTTTACGAACTTTGAAATGCAGTTTCCTGAATCTCTGCCGCACCTGCCTACTGAAATAAACAACAGCAAAATGTATTAATAAATAATAATAATAATTTTCCTACATTTACAGGGATGGAACGATTTGAGTTTTCACGGTTCCGACGAGATTCCGACACCTAACATTGATGCACTGGCATTCAACGGTATTGTGCTCAACAATCTATACACTCAACCGGTTTGCACGCCGTCTCGGGTGGCTCTAATGACTGGAAAGTATCCCATTAAATTAGGTAAGTAAACATTTTCGAGACTCGCGAAATTATTTAAATCTGGTTCTCTCCGGTTTCACAAAAATGTTTAAAAGATTGTTTGTGAAAAATAAAATAAAACCAAATATTTACCGGTTTCTGGAAACAACACATTGTCACATTGTCAGTAGCTTAGATACAGAAGCAGGAGGGCATGGGAATCTATGAGAGTTTAAATCTTTCAAGATCAAAAAAAAATATCATGATTATTATACAAATCATACAGGTATTAAATATTTGTAACGTCGAGAAGCAAATGAATAACAAATTCAAAATTCAAAATTCAGTAATAATAATTAATTCCAAACTATACTTATTTATTATTGTAGATTGGGATTTTATATTGCAGATTACATGTAAATTCCATTAAAGATACTCAATTATGTTGTCGATTTATCGTACAATATAAATTAGCCCGAAAAAAAATCCTCAATCAATTATCAAATAAAAGCGGAGATAGATTTATATTTTTATAAAATAAGCAATCAGTATTTTATTTTACTTTCGTGTAAAATCTAACTATCTAAGTAATAGGCAATACGAATAGTACGTATCAAGTGTAATAATAATGTTAACAAAAATTACTTTTAAGTAAATCAAACTCATATTATTCATTTAAAACTATTTGCAAGTTACAAATACATAGAACTAAAACCCCTCGGTTCTCATCCATGTAAAAATCGTATATTTGAGCCAATATACATGTTAAGTTTAACGATTATTGTATTAACTAATAACTAATAAGTAATTAATACTAATAAAATATGATAAAAATGCTGAACAGGTATGCAAGGTCCTCCGACTTATGGTGCCGAACCGAATGGCTTACCGCTATCTGAGAAACTGTTACCGGAATACCTCAGAGAATTAGGATATACGACTCGAGCTATAGGAAAATGGCACTTGGGCTTCTACAAACCAGCCTATACACCCACAAGACGAGGTTTCGACTCGCACTTTGGCTACTACACCGGATACGTCAGTTACTACGATTACATACTCCAAGATGTCGTAAGTCAAACACATTTGTTACTTTGTCGCCTGTTCAAAATGGATTTTATTAGGGCTGTTGATTTGTGTGAAAATCCATTATTTTTATCTTAGTTCAAAATATGATTTTCTAGTTTGTAGTTTCAAAGTTTTAATTAAATACGGAGGAATTCAATGAATTTAAACTTTTATTTTGCATTTTTGATATTTTGTTTATTTTGTATGTCTTTTAGGTCTTTTTGGCCTATAGGACCAAATCTATTTTCTTATTTGTTTTCTAATGAACAAATACGAATAATGCAGGTTCTTAAAATTGTCACTAAATGATTATAATATTATTATTTTTTACAAATTATATAATTTCAAAATATTTAGATAGAACATCGATTTTCGTAGGTGGGCCATGATTTATTATTAAATTTTAATTTTACAAATTCATTACAGTGACTTAGGTACTCAATGACGAGGTAAACACTTGACACATAATGTAGAAAAGAACAATGCCAACTTACTTTTTAAATTCGGATTTTGAGTATTTTCGTGATTTATATAGAACTTTTTTAAATTCTAAAAGCATTTTTAAAGAGTTTTTATTAAACTTAACTCACAGCCATATTAATTAGTTATTTCATAACATTGCGAGACCCACTAAAGTGGTACAATATTATAGTAATAAATAAACACTTACGTGTGCTGATAACTAATTATTGGTGTTGGAGCCAACTATTTACTAAGGTTCAATTAAGATTTTCATAAAGAATATACAAAATGATTGAATGGTCGAATATTGATCATAATTCTTTTATTACTGAATTTGGAGAACTTTATTAAAGTATTATTTTACTCTGATATTATTTGAATGAACTTAAAGACAAACCAAGAATATATATTACAAAATACAAAAAAATTGTATGATATACGCTTACAATGCAGACATTTATTTTTCAACTTCTGAAAATGTAGCTTTAAAAGTCCAATGTGACCTGCATAAGGTCTCCTGCGTATAAATAGAAACGACTGATCGAGATCTGAGTACTTCACGAGGCGTTTGAATTTTTCTTGATAATCATCCTTGGCTTCGACACCCTCGAGATGAAAAATACACTAGAATCTTAAATGAAAATTTTAATATTACGCAGTACCAGAACTTCGGTGAATTCCACGGGTTTGACATGCGACGGAACGACACGATAGCATGGGACGTGGTCGGCAAGTACGCCACAGACGTGTTCACAGACGAGGCTGTGCGACTGATCAAAGAACAGCCGGCCAACCGGCCACTGTTCATGTATCTAGCACACGTGGCCGTCCATACAGGCAACAGGGGTAAGAATTTGGAGGCACCGCAGTCCGAAGTCAACAAGTTCAATCACATTTTGGACCCGAACCGCCGAACTTACGCAGGTACCAAATACGGGGCGCAATCAGTAAAATTAATAATTAATAATGAATTGTTCTTTTAACTTAATTGTGTTCTTTGGTCAAAATATTATTCCCTTAATTGTTGCAGAAGGTAAGGCTATTGTTTTCTAAAATTTAAATGCCGCACAAATATTAACATTTTTTTTTTTTAATCGAGGCATAAAACGAGTTGATAATAATCGAGTTTAAATATCAATTAGCTTATTAATAGGTAGTTTCTTTAGTTTCTATCAACTCCACCAAATTATTGACAAATTATCTAAATCGTATTGAATTAAATTAAGTTAAATGCATATTCACTGTCATACATTTTAAAAAACAGTTACCAATTTATTTACATTTTCTTGAGATCAGTATTACACTAAACCAACTATTTTATTTGAATTTTCTTAAGTATATTAACAATTTTATATGCAGTCTAATACAAATCGTTATAACTTAAAAATTATATGTTTAATATAAAATTAACTATACTATTATAATATAATATGGTAACTCGTTGAAAGTGTATATTTTTTTAGCCTTAGATACTGTAAACTGTAGTAAAGATAAAGTATAATATAATAATATTATGTACATTTTTGGATTAAAACAATTTAAGTAAAAGAAAAATTGATTTTTACCTACTAAAAAACCTAAACAGATAAACCTAAGCAGATAATAAACGTGTCTTTGTAGCGATGGTATCCAAACTAGACGAGTCTGTGGGTCGAGTAGTGGAAGCACTAACAGAAAAGAAAATGCTGCAGAATACCATAATCGTGTTCATGTCAGATAATGGATCACCGTCGTTCGATAGTTCCGGTCGGAATTTCGGACCCAATGCCGGTGTTACAGCCAACTGGGGTTCCAATTTCCCGTACAGAGGCGTAAGTCTTATAATCACAAACCATATCTTAAATTAAATTAAAATTTGTTATTGCTAGGTCTGGGAATTTGACTTATTAAAAAATCTGAGAAACAACTCTTTAAAAAAATACGTTAACATTTAAAATAATACACTGTAGAACTGTAATTAATACAAAAATATTAAATAGGTAAGTACACAACACCTGCAATATTTTACATGCATTGTGATTTGTGGATACATTCAAATTAATATATTAATTTAATTATTTGTTATAATAATTGTATTGATTTTATGATGTCGATTTTGCCATATTTGTGTTCAGTGTTCATACAAATATTTAGTAACCAGGTTGGTTATGTTGCTTGTCAGTAAATTTATTATTGCCCGAACTGATCTTAATTTTTATTAGTTATTGCATAGTGTATGCGTATATGAAATTTCAAATGCAAGACCGATTTTAATTGTTTGAGTTGATGACAAAACACGTATACAATTTCGTTAAAATCTTTACATTTAATTTTTAAGTTTGAATTTACGTTTGAAACTCCCTGATATGAAAAATCATACAAAATTATTATATCCACTCGACAAGGAGTAAAACAAATTTCTACCAAAAAGACCATCGTAAATGGTTACTACTAGAAAAAATAATAACTGTCTACATTCACTAGAAAAAAAATAAAAAGTGCGTTGAAATCTTTGCAATAATTCGTATTCATAACTAGAAGGCAGATCCACGACCATAATAATATTTTGAAAAATATTATATTACTTAAACACCTCAAAATATTGAAAATATAATTCTCTTTCCAGAGTATTAAAAAAAACTTTGGCCAAACATACCCCTATTTTGAATCATTATCGTCTAGTTGGGTCTGAATATTATGTGCCTCTTCCAGATGGTGTAGATAGTATAACGAGGTCTTAAAATATAACATTTTAATTTTTACCTATATCGTTTTGACATTTTTCCACAGATAAAAAACACGTTGTGGGAAGGTGGTGTTAAGAGTGCGTCATTTATCTGGGCTCCATATTTCCAGGAAAATCCTCGAGTTTCCAAACAGCTCATGCATATTACTGATTGGTTGCCGACGTTATACTCAGCTGCAGGTACGTAGGTTAGGTAACGTAATAGCACGAACAATTAACGACTTACAATTTAACAACTTGATTTAAAGTACAAACCTTCGATTTGACCATTTCGAGTCGTAACATTATCCCGACGTTTTATTAAACGAACAATTTTACATATTTTGTACAGTAATTTATGGTTTTACACCTGAAAGAAGTTGATTATTATTTGACTAACAGCTCTGTTCCCCTCACTAAAGATCCAAAACATTTTTAATTTTGTTTTACATAAATAAAACGCCCACGTGTACGAATAAAAATATAATATATTCAATATTGGTACTTCAAACACCATAAATTATTATAAGATAGGTAGCTTCATTTCCATGGTAATATTGGTAACTTTGTTTCAGGTGGAAATCCAGGATTTTTACCGAAAAATCTGGATGGACTCGACCAATGGACATCTCTGACATTAAATTTACCATCGCAACGTAGTTTCGTTTTACTCAATATAGATGAAAAACAACGTTATGCAGGTATTCTCAAAGACAACTGGAAATTAATCGTTGGTAAGTTTTTTTCGAAAATTATTTTAATACAAATTAACGATCGTTTAAAAAAGACGACAAAATATGCGAATATTTAAAATTAAATGTCACAAAATATATTACTTAATGGATCGAAAAACCATTAAAGATTGCTCTCTAAACTGTTCTCATATTTTGAATTTATAATAAATGTTTTACCTTAAAAATCACATTTGAATTATAGCAGTAAACATTGCCTTGGGTTCAAATATTTTAATGAACTTTCGATACAATTTTGTACAACTATAACGTTACAACTTACAGCACAACCAGGTGCGAAGCCACTGTTATATGATTTGAGGAGGGGGGGAGGGGTTAAGTACAAATTAAACCAAGTTTTTACGGTTGTCGTAAATTATAAATAATTCATTTATTAGGGGAAAAATGTAAGTTTGAGGGTAAAACCTCGCATGGTTTAGTCTGTTATATATAATTATTAATTATTGATGGCGCAATAGTATTGAATAATATTATATTATAATAAATATTCAACGATTTTATTAGAACACTATAAAGACGATTTCCTTGTGGGTACTTTTCTATGGTTGTCTTGCTTTTTGGGTAATTTGGGGGCAGTTGACGATAAGATAGGTAATGTCACAAATTGTGGGGTTGTTGTGGAGTAAGCAGGAGGGGGATGAAGGAATTCAGTTTTATTAGGATTAGAATGTTTTAGTGTGATGGTTGGGGAAATATTTTTATACCTACCTAGTGGCGAAATGAGGTGGTAAAGAGGTTCCCTAGTTTTTAAGTCTTACATTACACAGGGTTTGTAAAGTACGTTAGGTTAAGTTAGTATTTACATATACTGTACCGTATAGGGCACCACATTTTGATATCTCTTTTTCTGTTCTCTTTAAGTCTTTACATTTGCGAAAGTGAACTGTACTATTTATTACCTCGTTATTGTCATCGCAAAACCGTTTGCTTCCCGACAGGTTCGACAGCGAACGGGTCACTGGACGGGTTCTTCGGGGCGACCAGACCGCGGACCCCGTATAACGCTACCGCGGTTCTGTACAGCCCTGCCGGCCGCGCGCTCGCCCGACTGTCGGACTCGCTGCCGTTCGCCACCGGCGGCGGAGGACCGACTAGCGGCGTCCGCGACCTGTTGGCCATGCGGTACGAGGCGACGGTCCGGTGCAACCCGTCGGCGGCGGGACCGCGCACCCAGTCGCCGTGTCCGTCCGGCGAGGCGTGTCTGTTCGACTTGTTGGCCGACCCGTGCGAGACCAACAACGTGGCCAAGAAGTACGTGGCCGTCAGCGGGCAGCTGTACGAGGCGCTCAAGTACTACAGGCGGCTGCTGGTGCCGCAGACCAACCGGCCTTTCGACCCGGCCGCCAACCCGGCCAGGTTCAACAACACGTGGTCCAGCTGGACTTACTGACCGGCTGCGAACATCCAACCGTCCGACCAACCCGTCGTACACGGGGCTGTGAATCTAATAATTGCACTTACCTAACGAATATTCCCTTAAAACAGATTCCGGTGTACCCACACTAAAAAATTGCAATTGACGTTCGAAATAAGTATCGAGCTCAGTTCAGTCTACCATATTGAACCATATTTTGTTTTTTCGTTTATTATTTTAGTTGACAAAAATAATATTTTACTTTGTGGGAGATGGTTCGAGTTTGATCAAAATTTGTTTTACGCTATGTTTGCAGGTACCAATAATATACCTGCTATAATCACGCGTACATAATATTTAAAAAAATTAATAATGCATTGTTTTTTAAATCCAAATTGCGCGTGCGTTTGCTTGTATTTTGACAACACATATTAAGTGCACGCTTATTCTACAATTTTTTATGCATTCAATTCACAGCCCTTTGTATGCTCAGTGGCGCATACAGCATCCTTGGGTAACGCTGCTGTTGTTTAAATGTATTGATACGTATAGACGAATTAATTAGGTGCCAAAAAAACAGTGGGCAGATCAGCTGTCGCTATATACAGTAGGTAATTAGTTGAAAAAATATAATTTAACATTCTCAAAGTAATTTACAACTTTACTAGTAACTTTCCGTCAGTACCATGGCTATGTTATTGTTGCGTGGTTACTATATTATATTGTACGATCACAAGAAACAACAAGTAATTTCAGCACATTTTTTAGACGAGATAAATAATTCTTTTCTACTCACAAAACGCTTTTTTTTAACTCGATTATTTCTATCACTATTGCATTATCTTTAAAAATTCCAAATAATACAACATAGACAATATATAACAACCATAATATTAAACAAACGGATCGGTTATTGTTACTGCGCTATACAGAAAAAGTTGTCATCCACCTAATTATATTTTTAGTGTCTGATTACCATCTCGACATTTTGTACCTTTTCAATTAAATAATAAGTGTGTACTGTGTAGTGTAATCTTGAGAATCGTATAGTTGAACATTGCTATAAGTTCTCATTCAAGTAGTTGTAATAAGTATATTTTTGTTTTATATAATTTATTAACATTACATGTCCCTATATTTATTGTACTGTATGTTGGATGAATACAATTATCATACTTTTTGAATGTTTACATTTATGTCTAACTTAATAGAATTAAGTATGTACTATTAAACAAAAAAGACAACAAAAAGTAAGTCCTAACTTGCCAAAGAAATTTATTTTCTCATACAATTTTGTATAAATTATCATTGAGAAAAATTAATATTTTCAATTATTTATTTTGAACTGTTCTTGGTATTTTCATTATAATGTTTTAGGTTACTTAGTTGACATTTTATATTTGATGATAAGTACATAATATGTGCCTATATAAACGTTTATATAACTGGTAGACAGATTTGTGGATACTTCGAGACTGCAGCTCTATTACGATATGATGTCTATAATATATTTTAATAATTGCAGAGTGCGCACAGTAGTTTAAAGTTCCCAATTATGCATTACTATTATACTTTTATTTTTTAATTAGGAATCGAGGTTTCGACCAATAGGTCATTAGCTTATTAATTTCAGGCCACTATGCTTGTTTATAAATTATTCATAAGCTATATAGCCTTGATGCCTAGGTATTATATTCCAAATAAATGTTAATATATTAAATTATTTCACGTTGAAATACCACTACCGAGAGGTTTTTCACTCTGTTTTCCATGTCATTATTTTATTTATTATCATCAAATAATTTTATTGTTCAAACTTGTAACAGATAGCATAATAAAAAATCTCGAGAAAAAAAAAGTAATAAAATATTAATCTTATGATCTTAAGTTTAGATTCTAAACTTTACGGTCTTGACTCGATATAGTATTTTAATTATTCATTTTTAATATTAAGATATTACATTTAATTTAATGTTGTATTTAACTATAATAACTTTAAGAGTAGTGTCATTTTTTTTCTATACAACTGAGAAATGTAATTTTATCGTACAACACGTAATAACTATTAATGTATTTTTGATAACTTTATATTATTTATATTTATATTTTAATATCGGTACTATATTTATTATGATAATTCAAACCTGTATGTTTGTCAGTATGGTTCAAAATTAAAGGAAATACGTTTATCGTGATGACGAAATATTTTTTATTTTTTTTTTAATAACCAAATTGTATAGTAGTTGTTAGATACAGCTGCCAGTGATGAATAATATGAAATATTTTCATTTTAAACAATGTTTGAATATGATAAATTATATCGCGGCAACAAATAGTTATGGCAGTACCATCGCGTAAATAAAAGCAGCTGTAATACTAAGCCTGAAATGCAAATGCTGTAATAACCATAAGTCAAAGTATCAAGATCTGTACATTTACCAATGACATCATTTGTATTTTATTGTTCTTCGTTCAAATAAACTATTTTGGAATATTTAATTATCTTAACAAAATATGTGTGGGTACACTTTTTACATATTATTACTATTTATTTATTTATTTATTTGCTAAATATTAATAGAACAGCACTGTCTGTTGCATCCAAGGCTATTGGATGTATTATTTCATGCATATTTTATCTATTAATAACGTCCCTCAAAAAATAAGAGTATAGTACATACAGCATTACAGCAACATTTACAGAGTTCTATGTATACACATTATGCATCATTTAAACAAACAGTCATAACTATATAAGCGTAATAAAATATTATCATAATATACATTTAAAAACAAAAATTAAACATATACGAATAAAAAAAAATGTAAATAGATAAAGGATCAAAAATAATATCATAATTTTTTATCAAATAGGAGGAAAATAATATTCGATTAACCGATGCATTTAGACTCATTCATTAGCTGATTTGTCATTTCTTTTAATCTCAGTTCATTTAGTTTTGGTGATTGAAATCCATATGGAAAGTAGGTTGCTTTCGAATATAGTAGAAAAGGACATTAAAATTAATGGAGTTTTCGGAAAATCTACATTATTATTAAGTAATTTATGAATAAACAATAACTTATCCTCCATGAATCCTTAAATAATCGTCGTTCATCTATACGATACTGAGGCCATGTGAGATCAATAGTGAGCTAACGTTAGTTACGAGTATAATATATTATGTAAGTTTCATGTGCCAAATATCACTTTGAAGCAGACAACAATCCCCTTCATTTTACATGCACTTCAAGTAACATTTTGGAGTGATGTGTAACTGACTCGAGAATTTAATTACTTATTTAGAATACGAATTATGATTATAATGTCACCAAAAATTTCACCTCGGTAAGATCATAAAATATGTTGTTCTGTTAGGTTAGGTATAGATAGTTGACCAAAGAATTGGAGACTAACTAATATCTATTACATTAGCATTTCTGGTTTAGAAATCCACGATTCGCAATTCACACATTCAAGTATTTTATTAAAAAGTTGTTTCTTATAGAATTCTGAACTACTTTTGCATTTCTAGGAAGACCACACAATGTACTGAATAGTGCTCTTCTTACGTTTTGACTAAATAATGCATACCTATTCGCAAGAGTGAAAACAACCTTCATATAAGAAAAACATACACTACAAAGGTATTGGCCAATCATAGGACTTCTGGTCCAAGAAAAGAGGAATGAAAATTGAAAACACCATTTATTAAAGGGATCTAGCATATTCAGATGTTCTAAAGCCAATATTGAATCTTGAGCACCTCCATGCTATATGACTAGCACATTTATAGTTTGTATTTTTAAAAGACTTGCAGGAGACAATAAGAAGTAAAAATAATTCTTAAACACAAAAGGTCTATACATATTTTATCTTTACAATAAAATGACCATTGCTATTAATGTTTTCATATTCGTTGAAAGAAATCACAAAAAACCAATCCATTCTCGTTGAAATTATAATAGTATTATATAGGTTCGTGTTATATATATTAAAAACATTTATAACTTGTTGTGCAATGCTGTGCGAGTATAAAAATAATAACAACAATAATTGTTTACAAAATAAGGCCAGATGGCCGTAGTATTCGTGACTTACAGTAATATTTACTATGGGGGGATGGTTGTGGTGTGCCCGTGATCTTCTTTTTTGTACGCTCTGTATACCAGTTATTTTAAATAGACATTTGACACCAAGTGGAAAATAATTTCCGCCATACATTTTTGAACTAAATATACATGTTATATATTGTTCCAACATATTTGAACACATACAAATATCTATTGTACGGTATAGATATTATTAAAGTGGATACCGCCTATATAAAACACACTTTGGTACAAAAAGAGTATTATAAACTTTAAGTTACAACCGAATGAACCTTAAAGGCAAAGTGGTGAAAAAACCAGAAAATCATTTAAAATTAATTATCAGCTTTATTTTCCTATTTTACTGTTACAATATATTACTTATTTGTAATTTATTTCGATATTTTACCAAAACTATCTACATGTTCTAACAATTTTTTTTCGAAATTGCAAGGATCCTTGAGGACAAATTGAGTCTTATAAACGAAGTGGTGAGTCTTATAAGTTTTATAACAAACTTTTTGTAATGTATTTGAGATATTTTTCAGGGCGATTTTGAGTCTTATAATAAATCTAATATTAATCTAAATTTTATATCCGTGTCTTATCTCTTATATAGTGTGTAGTGTAATTATAAGCTATCTATATGTAAACACACTAAGTGTGGGGGAGGTGAGATATATTATGTATTTCCAAGTCCAAGTCCATAATTATATGACGTATATCATATAAAATAGAGGTATAATACGCGAAATCATCACGGATTTATTATACCGCAGTCGTGTGGTATGTGAAATAACAATAACAATAATAATATGTGAAATGGCGGGGTAAACAACTGCCGCCGGAGTATTATAGTGAGAGACTTTAACGGTGCGATGACGAGACTTCATGGAGTTCGGATTGGTGTTCGTGCATCGGGTAGTTGTAGTTTATCGACTGTTGCAGTTCGTAGTCAACCTGGGGCGGGGCTGCGGAGGCGTGTTCGGCGGCAAAGTCAAACTTGTACGACGGGTCGGCGGCGGGCGGTGAAGGATCGTGCTGTTGACTGTGCACCGGTTCGATCCTCTTCACCACGGCCCTAAAACCGTGCTCGTCGTCGGCCGTGTACTCGACCACCCGGGTAGAGCCGTCCGGTTCGACCAGGCTGTAAGTGCCCTTGACCGACCCGTGCCCATCGCCCACCTCATTTTGGCTCTTCTCGTCGCCGGTCAGCGGGTCGTGCACCGCGTACTGAAAGTGATAAGTCGACCCGGGCTTGTGTGAGCTGTCACCCCCAGCCTCCCCGTGCCCCGCGATCGACGAGTCGTCGTGCAGCTGAAACGGAGACGCAGAGACTACGACGCAAGTGGCCAAGGCGAAGACTGCGACGGCACGGCAGTATGACAGCTGAAAAACGTGATAAATATCATATTAATATTATGTTATAGAGACCGCACTTGTATAATAGGTCAACGGAAATTTCGAACGCGATGCTAATATTTTGCACTAAAAAATATCTCGTAAATCCAATATTGAAAGAAAAAATATTATTTGCACAAGAATATGTATTTAAATTGAAATAGAAATACATCAACTTAAAAATTATTTCAAATTCTCGACTAATACAAATAGTAAGTATTTTTATTTATTACTTTACAACTAGGTATATAAGTACATTTCTTTTAATTAAACAAGTAATGTAAGCCGTGGTGAGCAATTAATTAAAATAATAAATACGTTTTATTCGTGTGGACTGTATTCCGAATTCAAGTACATATATAAATATTAAGAATAAAAATTATAATTAACAATATAACAAACAGTACAGACGACCCTCGGTGTGTGTTTTCCGTGTTCATTAGGAGACTGCGGCTTACATAAAGTCGATAGCGAATCGATCTCGATAAGACAACAACGGACGACTGCGGCGACAATATTATTAATAATAATCAAAATTTACTTATCGGGAATCGCACACTAATCTCGGTAAGCAACAAGAAAGTACCTATACTGGTTCGAAAATTCGCAGAAAGCCGTCTGTCTGGGTCATATTTTTATATTGCTTTCCTCCAATTTTAGAATAGAATGTATGGGTAAATATTAAGTAATTTATATGCAATATTCATTACACACATGATGTTCACCTAGACAAAAAATTAAGTATGGATACCGGATGGAACGCCGATATCAATAAAATGATGTTATCGTTTTTAATTCACGTCAAATGATAGTCTTTATTTCGATGAAAATAATCAACAATGGTACTTGGGAGTTTATTTTAAAAAGTTATACCAAGTACAACATTTTAGGGATTTTTATTTCCAAGTAGAAAAATAATAATATTGATAATCCAAACAAAGGCAAACAAGTATTTTCATAAAAAATAATAGATGTATTTTCTTTTAAAAATAATAATACGCAGGTATGCAATATATTTCAAAAACTTTGAAAATACATTCATTAAAAAGTACTTTTCCTTAATTACTTTACAAAATTGCCTGAAATATTCTCCAAATATTTCATTGAAAACTGGTAAATATGCCTGAAAATAATCCATATCCCCCAAAAATCAGCATACACGCATTCTTAAAAATGTATGTTAATTATTTAATTGGTTAATCTTTTATACTTCTAAATACATTCCAACATGTTAAATATTTACTCGAATGAAATAGGTACGTACATCAGTGGCATAATCAGCATTTTTTTTTTTAGGGGGGGGGGCTGATAATTTGTTATATAGGGGAGGTTTAACTTATCTCTCATATAAGTTTGGTATACTTTTTATTTTATTGATGCAAGATTGAGCTTCTGATCGAACTTTAAATTCGAATAATACGAGTGTATACGATATAAATTTGAAAATATACCTACAATTGGAAAATTTTATGATATATCTTACAGACTAATAAAAATTTTAAAAATGATCGAGGAAAGTTTCTAAGTTTTCAACTCAACAGATTTTTTATTCATTATTTTGACCCAATTATTACGAAATTAGTATATAAGAGATTATATTGAAGATATCATGTTGATTTGTTTATTTTCTTTAATGGATACCACGAGACAGTAAACAGAAATAATCAGTAAAAATAATTATAATCTATGGTCGAGAATGTCGTGTGAAGGATGGAAGACAAAACTCCAGAAAGGTGTGATGGAATGAAAGCCTCGAGATGAAAGAAAAGTGATGTAGGTAGATCATGCGGTGTCGATGAAGACACCTCATAGAGCGCGAGGAGTTGAGCAGTATGGACAATTAGAAATACAAAATAGAAGTGAAAACAAATGCCAAGATGTTGCAGTAGTGTAGCCAGTAGCGACAAAATCTTATTAAGGGAGCAATCGTGTTAATAAATAATAAAAAGAGGATAATACAGTACATTTTAATTCGACACAGCCATCATATTATTATAATATCATACTATACTGCACACTCACCTTAGCGGCCATATTATGGTCTGCAATGTAATATCGTTGATGTATACTTTTCTCGCTGTGACGCTATATCGTATGGTATATGCGCGCTTGTGCGTAAGCAGGTATATCGTGTATAGATATAGGTGTAAGTACTCAAAGAACAAGTGTTGCACTCGGCGTTCTTCTATGTGCACTGATGACGGTTATCCAAAACCTCGACGTATTATATATACCTAATCCTGTATAGGTAGGCAGGTACATGCGTAAGGCGGTGTAAAATATACAGCGTAGGTAAGTGTAAATATATGATTACGTTACACAATATAGTAAGCACGCGTTTTAAACAATATAATTAGTATTAATAATAATAATAATAATAATAATATAATATTATGGACCTATGCAGAGAGGTACCTACTCGCTCATAACGAAGAGGTGTCTTCGTGTCTGCGTCCATCTCCGCGTTCCACGCAACCGGAGATTTGCATCGGACGAAACCAAGTCGGTACGTAATTAATAATAAACTTAATAATAGGTACAACCTACTAGTGCTGGTGGACACCGACCGGCACGGGCAATTATAACGTAACACTGTCCCGACCGCGCGAAACGTTATGCATGTACCTGGGTATAAGGTAAGTATTATAGGTAGGTACCTAAACACGATGGAAGACGGCGTTACGAAAAGCGCATTAGAAAAACATGCGATATAGAAGGGGAGAAAAAATAACGAAATCAATTACGACTACGACGGTGATGATGATAATTTATTATAATCAAGCTTTCTTGCGCATAGGTAGGTAGCCATAATGCGCATCTGCAAGATCTGTGCAGAGGAATCTTTTCAGATGCATTGACTGCACACAATTGCCTGTTATGAACATTCTACAGATTACAGCTGGGTAACGCGTTCGGATGGCTGACAAAGTAGTACAGAGATCATATAACCTTAGAGATATATCTTAATATATCTTAGTCCGTGGAGATCATACTTTTATCAACTTATCAATAACGTAAATTGGCCTGCCCAAGTGTGACGCATGCACCAAGACATTGGACATCAATCTGATGTGAGGCGGTGTACGACTGTTGTATAGTGTTGTTCCTCAGTTCCTCACCACTTGCAAATCTCAAATATGTCCTACTCGTGAAGTCAAGGAGATCCATAGCAATGTTTATAACATGAATATGATATAATTTACACACTACTATTGTGTGTTACTAAACAACGATATGTAGGCATGTAGCTAGTCTTAACTTTTAAGCTGCGTTGAGCACGCATGGCAATTTTTTTAAAAGGCAAATAACCAATATGGTTCCAAGTCATTGATGAGTTGGGATGTTTGATATGAAAAAGAACGCGTATTTGAGTATATTATTAGTTTCAAATTATAATATTACTAATTTATTTTTGAAAGTGTATAGAAGCAAATATTAACATCAGACTAAAATAATGCATCATTATAAACATAAAGTTTAAAGTAAAATATTAGATGATTTATTTTTATGTTATTCTAAGAAAATTAGTTTTTGGGTGTACCTATTGCTTGGGTGTATTGCTTATTTGTTTGTATTAGAAGAGAAAATTATGTAAACAATCCCAAGCGCAATCACAAATCAAATCAAATTTACTGATTGTTATACTACACACCTGTTTTGAATTTTTATAATATTGTATTATTGCAGTGGTGTAATTTCGTACATTATGTACCTGTATACCTTCTAATATAGGTTTTAAAGAGGTTGAGGGGAAAATATTCAGTATCCTAGTATCCACCCCTATAAACTTTTAAATACATTTTAAGGCATTAGGTATTAATCAGCAATTATGAATCGTTTATACATTTATTTTCTAGAGCAAAATGGCATTGATACATTTATATTATTATACTAATAAAGGTAATATGATATAAAATATAATAACGATTAAACTATAAAACAGCATTTTACAAATTGTCAAAATTAAAGTCATACTTAGTTCAAATTACTATCAAAAACTGGTATATAAAACTAATCAAAGACTTAGGTATATTTTCCCAAAACTAACAAAACTATTTTTTATAGTGATGATAGAACTTGTTATAAGCTGTTGAGAATTTCGTCGTGTTTTTCTATTCGGGAATATGTCCCTAAATCTATTCAGTGGGTGAGGTGCAACAATTTGGGATATTTCCATAACACTGTTCTCAATAATTTCCATACCCTGAGTTAAGCATGGAAAATAAATTAAGCGAATATTCGCTGATCTATCTAAAAAAAATATTGAAGGTGTTTATGCTAATAAATATAAAATACTACATTCTTACTTATTACTTCCAATTGTTTTTGTTACTTACCGCATTTCCAAACAACAATAATTGTTTTTTTCAATGTAATAACAGGGTATTTTTGCCACCGAAAATGTGTAAAATTTATAACCTATCATTTGGCCTCTAGCTGCTAAAAAAATTTTTTCTTTTTTTTAAGTTACAGCTATTTTGCACACCAGTATATGCAATTGTTAAACATAATATCATGGGTTCTAATATTAAAGACCGTACAAAGTCTAAATTTTTTTCAATTATACAAATAGTCAATTACAACTATTTAGTTACTTGATTTTTCGAACAAAAAAAAAAAACGTGATAAAAAATTGCATTTGGCAAATAAGAGAAATGATGAAGTATTCAAACGCATATGTTTAATTATATATTAATATTTATCACATTATGTAGGTATTATGCCGACCAAGCAATGATTTGTCGAATCGCCAGACTGTAAAATAAAACAATTTTTCAATGGTTTAGTAAACACTGTTTCACTTAATACATTTTTAGATATGAGATAACTTAATAATATAATGCCATGATGGTATGATAAAATATCCTTATACTTTATATAAAAGTAACAGTTGTATTATTATGTATAAATATATAATAAGAAATAACTAAACTTAATAATTTTATTTTAAATTTTATCCAAATCTCTTTCTACTAAAAGACGTTATTTTAAATATTTTTTCAAACAGTTCAAACTTTGGCACTCTAAGACACGAAATATTTATTGAAAACATTAGTATTCCAATATTTATCAAGTACCTAAGTATTTTGAGTTACTTTATACTTGTTTGGTATCTAGATATCTATTTCTATCACCAGAATTTTCCTGGTGGGTGAGTATCAGTTTGAATTTCTTTAATGCATGTGTATCTATTTATAGTCTCTGCTCATCGACTTGATATTACCCAGGTTTATCAAATTGCATTATATTTTTGTTCGAAGCCCCACGTTTCATTGATTTCCACACTTTTTGAATCATAAATTCATATAATATCAATATGTTTTTATATCATTGAAATAATATATATTTTTTTAATGCAGGAAATATGACCAAAACTAAATACAATCACTATTTATTATTTGGCTGAAAGTGAAAGCCAGTAAAATTAAAATATTTTGGAGAAATATGGTACTTACAAAAATTAATATAATCTACCATCTATTACAACACTAATAACTAATTGATGGAAACATCATAAAAATTAAATAATAATAGTTATATTTAACAAATTTGTTTTGTCACTACTTAATATTTTCGTCTAATCAGAGTGAACTTGTGTGACCTATTTCGCGGTGCACCACATACATCGTGGCTAGTTCATAATATATCAGCCTAACTCCACATACGGTACCCCGACAAAATATTGCAGGTAAAATATCGCGAAACCATTATATATTTATATCGTAAAGAAATAATACAGCCGTATATTATTATTATATACAATTGCGTTTGATTTAATCTTATCTAATAGTATTCACCTTTTAGCTAGCAATGCATTCAAGTATACTAGTTTTTCATTTTATAATTTTTATTTAGTAATACTTCGTACTGTCATCGTGACACTTTTATACAGTTTTACAGAGTTTTTTTTTTTATTTATTTTAATTTTAAATGGAGTTGAATTTTTTAAAAAATGCAAAAGGCAAAAATTTATTAGTCCATAACAGATATACTTTTACACAAGAAAAATATGGTGCTGATTCCAAGGTAAGATAAATAATATTACTTATTATTAGAATAATCTGTGTTCCCATTAATTATTAATAAAGACCGGATTTATTTATTTAAAGACATTTTGAAGGATATAGCAGAGTTTTGGCCACCTGCATAATTTATAATTTTTATTTTTTATTTTTTATTATATTCGTAATTTATTATTATTATTTTTTATATTTTATTATAGTAAATATTTATTCATATATGCATTTTTCTGAACATAGCAGAATTTTGATCGCTTGATTTGTTCTGTATAATCATAAATGTATAATTTTTAATAAATGTATAATGTATTATTAATCGTACATTTTTATATAAATTATTGGTTATAGAAAATACAAAATGTAAGTGGCGGGGGAATTTACAATTGTGTGTTGCCACATGTATTTACAATTATTTATTATTTTCAGATTATTTGGAAGTGCAGTCAATATGCCAGTAAAAAATGCCGTGGAAGGTGTCATACACAATCAAATAACGTTGTTTGAGACTCTGACAATCACACTCCTTTACCGGAGGCGTCCAGATTGGCTGCAATCCAATTTATCTCAGAAATAAAAGAAAATGCAACAAATTCTACTAGTACTTCAGCGTCAGTTTCAGCTTCAGCTTCAAAAGAACTACCTCGTGAAATAATTTCTTATATTCCAAAAATTGACTCCCTAAAAAGAACAATTCAGCGAGTACGGAAGAAGGAATTTCCAACTTTACGCTCTAATTTTGTGGAAGAACTAACAATTCCTGATATACATCAAATAACAGATAAAAAAGAAAAATTTTTATATTTTGACTCTAGAAATGAAAATATACGTGTTTTGGTATTCTGTACTGAGGATAATTTGAAAATATTAAAAAAATGTTCACAATGGTATGCGGATGGAACATTTAAATCTGCTCCGCCACTTTTTAATCAGTTTTTTGTAATTCAAAGAAAATTAAATGACGGATCCATATTCTCATTGATATACAGTATAATGACTCACAGAACAGAACAAGCTTACGATATTTTGTTTAATTTTCTAGCTGATGAACTTGGAGAGTTCGAACCAGAGTCTATCATGACAGATTTCGAAATGGCTTCTAGAAAATCATACAGTAAGTGTTTTCCATCTACAAAACAACGGGGTTGCTACTTTCATCTAATGAAAGCTATTTGGAAAAAAATACAAACAATTCCAGAAATGCAAAAGTTG